GACAACTAACATAGTTGGAAAGGACTGTGAGGAAACACAGCAGAAATGCACCAGAAGAAAAGGGTTTAAGGTTGGCAATGGGAGTGCCATTTGAGGCAGAGGCAACAATATATACAAAGTTTTGGAGTGACACTAGAACATGCTTTATCCCATTTTGAATGTGACTACCATATGCACAAAGAGATGGTTAGAACTTCATGATAGCAAAGGACCCACATTGCAAAAACTCTGCCTAACTTACAACTTTATATACATAGGAAGGCTGGTATCTTTTGCTGTCTAATCCATACTACTTTCTAGTCTACTTGTGCATCTGAAAGGTCTTAATTCTTCTAACGGAAGCTAAACATATTTCCAGGAGAACTACTACAGAAATCTAGCTGAGTGCTACCAGCCTGCCCCCAACCATGGACTGTACCTCCCTCCTATATTTTTTCTCTTTTGCGGCAATGTGTATCTTCCATAAAGATGAAGTCAAATCTTATTAGGTAAGAGCAGAGTGTATAAAACAAAATGTCTCTCAGTATCAGTAATAATCCAGTTAGGAGAGCAATCTGACCAGTTACTTTAAAAGAGGAAATTTAGTATTAATAACTGATGCAACCTCCATGGTAGGTAGAATATCAAACTGCAGTGCTCGAAGCCATGTGGCTGACCACAGATTTGGATTCCTGACCTGGTCCACCTGAAATACACTGGGCTTTCACGTGTATGCCAAAGATCCTGGTGGAGAGGAGGGCTTAGGGAGAGGGATCATAGCATGAGGAAACACTGTTGAGGGTAGGTGCTTCTCTCTCTCCATCTCTCTGTTTTGTATGTGCACACACATTATCATTGATAAAATAAACTTTAAAAAAAAAACCTAGCAATTGTTAATTATAAAAATTATTAACTGAAAACAGAATATGACAGTAACATGAAGTGACAACTTCAGAAAGCAGTTATCACTTCTAAAAATAAATAGAATGAACAAAGGGAAGAGGCTGGAATTATTAAAATTTAGATGCTTAGAGAAGGGGCTCTTCTGAGGAGGGGCGCCCCTGAGGTAACACTGTGAGAGTTGTAAAAACGGCAAACTGGATCCAACTGCCTCCACTGGGATGAACTGCTGTTGTGAGATAAAAATCTTTGCTAGGTAGCACTCACAGGAATAGCAAGCAGGAAAGAAGCCCACAAGAAACAAACAGGAAGGAGAAGGTCTATTCTTTCCACTTCAGCCTTGTACTCCTCTAGCACCCGCTATGGGTAGTGTAGGAATGAGTTAGAAAGTCTGCAGAGTCTCATCTCCAGCATCAGAAAGTGCCAGTTAGACAAGAGATGGGTGTGCATGTCAGATGAGGTGTGTGTGGAGGAGTGAGGCCTAAGGAAGGACATTTGGAGAAGGGATACGGAGGGAGAACATTGACGGGATGGGGAGGTGTGGTGTTATCGGTTGAAGATATTTGGATCAACGGGACTGGGGAGAAATGTCCACATATTGAAATGCTCACATTGTAAGCTAAACAATGTGACTGAACGTATATAAAAAAATAAATTAATTTTAAAAAAGAAAGAGCCAGATAAAAAGGTGGGTGTAGAGTCAAGAGATAATGGCTCACACTATTCTGTTCCTCGAAAAAAGAATGTTTTAATAAAAATGGACCATAACTTCTGGATTTCAAATCAGCTTCAGTGTCCAAAAACACAGGGAAAATAGTAAAGCACAACAGATTTTATAAGAGCTACCCTTCTACCAGGTGTAATAAATGATGACATGGCCCACTTTCTCAGAGAGGGTGAATGCGGAAGATTTAATGACAGGTTCCAGTTGTTTTCTCTCTTATAGTAAAATCATGCAGCTATTCTCTTGCCTGGCTTGAATGATGAACTAAATGCACTTTTTTAGCATTTAATTTTATACTCTGGACATGTGATTGCTTTAATCAATGAGATGTCAGAGAATATGACGAAGACAGAAACGAACTTGCACAATTGAACTTTTGTGCCTCGGTGATCTACCATGAGAATAACATGCCCCAGTGTAACTGTTGCCCTTAATGAGCTACATGCATCATACCACATCCCACTGATCTAAGGAAGAGAGATGCATGGAACAAATGCGAACTCAACCTGAATCCGGTCTAACCTAGCCGAGTAACAGTCAATGTCCAGATGCACAGTAACAGTCAGTGCATGAGTGCACAAGGAATATCTGTCAGGTTAAGTCTTTGCATTTTGGAGCTTGCTACACAGAACTATCATTGCAATAGCTGACTAAAACATTTTCTACAATTTTACTGACTTATCAGTAGATGTAACTGGGAAGCAGAAAACACGCTTGTTATTTAATAAGGAGAAATTCAATGGAGAGAAATGATCACACGAGTGATAGAAAAGGCTAAGAAGCCAACCAGAGGACACTGAGACCACCCAGAGATTGACAATAGTAAGAAATTGCTTCTACCCAAAGTGGAGGGGAAAAGTGATAAAATAGAATCACCGAGCAGAAACGAAAACTGAACAAAAAAACACAAAAATGAACAGCCTCTACCAGAGATTCCACCTGAAGCACAGAGGAAACGAAAAATACTCTGGTTTCTCCCTTCTCTCTTCATTCCAACCCTCCAATTTCACATCTGTGTCTCTCATTGACTAAAACAGCCAGAAATTAGTTGATATGGAAAATTAAGAAATGTGGCTTGCTGGAGACCACAGATCATACAGAGCTAAATAGAAGGATAAGGAATGGATCTATGGAAAACTCTAATTAATATATTATTATATTATATAATATATTGTTTTTAATGATATATCATTATGTTATAGTATACTGCCTGAATATTTTAATGTATTAATGATATTATTTGTATTTATGTTGTATTATTATATTACTGCTCAAACACAAGAAAGTCAAACAAACAGACCCCCGCCAAAAATTTCTAGACTATGCCCAGTATGTTCATATGTGTTAATCATTATCACTTTAGTGGCCTAGGAAGTTAGGAATCAGGACCAAATAGTCCCTTTTCAGCTACAGCTTTGCTTCTGAGGGTACCATCACTGCACTGCCATGTTCCTGGAACTGGAACTCCTTCCTCCAAGCCTTCTATTGGTGACATGAGAACTTGGAGCTGGTATGGTGTAGTGCCACTTCTCCTTAGATGAGGGATCCAGGCCCAGCCACAATGGCTCAGGTGGTAGGGGACCACTGGAGCAATATGAGAAGGCCTAGGGTTTAGATCCTGAATGTGCAAGGTGCACTTGCAATCCTAGCTGGCTAAAACCCTGGGAAATGGCAGTGGTGGATTGCAGCATGGTGGGAAGCTGCGGAGGATACCTCTTTTTTCGCTTTGCCTCTCTCTGATGAAATAAGTAAACTTAAAAAATATACATCAGGGAGCCACAATAATGAATTTTCAGAAGTAAAAAAAGCATATTATTTTTATTTTATTTTAAAGTTTATTTTATTCATGATAGAGATCATGTACATGCAAGAGAGAGAAGCACCCTAGACAGAGCCCTATCATCCCGTGATCCTCTTCCTTCCCAAATCCTTTTTCCTCAGCTCTTCAACTCATCAGGATCTTGGGCACTAGTGGACACACCTGGTGTGTTTTCAAGCCAACCCTGGGATCCAACTATGGAAAGCCATGAGGCTTCCGGCACTGCAGTTTACATCAACTGCACCACCAGGTTGGACCTACTTTTGTTTCAAACTTATGCAAGACGAGGTCCCAGAGCTAGGTTGGATGAGTGCCAAAGCAATACAGAATAATGAAAAAGCTTTGCTCATTCCCATGTAGGTGTTTTCTCCCAGAGCATGCAAATTATGCTAAAAGAGACTGCAGTCAAAGGAGCCCTCATACCAGCCGCCAGACCATTAATGAAACCATGACTCACCTTCAATGCTGAGGCTTCATCATGTCTCACGTTATCTTCTCTTATGGTTGGCTCTCTTAGAGGAGTCTAATGGCTTTCTAGGATATGGCCTCAGGTAGATCCCTGATCTAACTCAACGCATTTACATATGAGTGAGCCACCAAAATTCAAACTTAGGGTAGGGGCTAAGTATTTTCCCAGGAGGCTGTTGAACCCATTGTAAATCAGAAGAAGCAACAGTTAGTGGAGGGGAGAGGAATACATTCCCTAGCTAGAGCAAATGGACCCCAGCTCTCACCTAAAAGAGTTACCCAGCTCTGCTTATAGTTTGAGTTACAGGGAATCCTGAAGATTTCATTTAATGGCTCAATTTTAAATTTGAGGAATCAGAAGTTGAGAGGCGCAAAATAATTTGCCCAAGACACAAAGTTAGCTAGTGAGATGTGAAAAAGACATTTAAATAAGCCAGATAGATGTAAACTAAGGGGGAGTCAGTGGTGGGAAGAAACAGATGGATGGGATCCTAGACAAGAAAATAATAATACTAGGGAGAAAGTAGCTTTATGTCAAGAAATAAAGCCACCAGACTTAAAAGATGATCTATTTATCTATTTGGGCTATGATCAATAAGCTCAATGTTCTTCTACACCACACTATGTTTCCCCTTATTAACTCTCTTCTTGAGTCATAGAATTACTCAATCCCCTCTTCTCCAAATTAAATAAAATCTTTCAATGTACATGAAACAAATAATATTGATTAAAGGTCTGCTGTGTTTAGTAGATCACAACAAGAAGAACAAGAGACAGGCTGGCCTGCTATGTTAGAAACGGGACAGGGTTATCATGGAAGCTCCTCTGCTTCTAGAGATGTGGTCTCACCTCACGTAAGTTTTCTTACTTGCATGCCTCTAGTTCCCCATCTATAGAATGCAGCTACGTTCATGAGTCCCATCCTTTCACAGAGTTGTTGTTAGAATTACAATGGGCATGACATAGCTTTTAACATTTCTGTTTCTTAGGATTGGTATGAGAATACCTACAGGGGGAGGGAAGTGAGTTATAAAAATATAGATGTTTCAAGTATATATACACACACACAATTTTAGTGAGCAGAAAACAAAAAAGAAACCGAGGTCTTACTGGAGTTTGAGACGGCAATCATCACTCCTTTCTTTAATATATGTAGGAACTAAAATAAAAAAAAGAATGTGCTTAGTGCTAGTAAAACTATGTGAGAGAAAATGGCCTTGACTTGAGGTTTCCTAATACTCCCTCTGACTCCCACATTCTCCTAAATTTGAGGCCTAGAGAGAAGATACCCCACTAGCTGCACTGAGGATGCTGGGCTGCCTTATCTTCTTTGAATTAGAGGGTCCTATTCACAGAGACAAGGTAAATGAGACCACAAGTGCACACAGCCTTTCACGCAGCAGTCAACCACCAGACACCTGGCCCTCCCATCACACCACACAGATCCCTGCTACTTCTTTTGTGAGCCAGAAAAGGGGAGAAAAACTTCTTCCTCTTACCGCAGCTATGCTGGAATTTCTATTTTGTTGGTCAGGAAAACAAAAAAAAAGACTGAGATTTCTCTCCTAGGTCTCCACCCTGCAAGAACATCCTTCCGGTAACTCTGGTAACAAGAAGCATGTGGATGTGGCTGCTGGATGACAGTATGCTACATACATCATTTAACTGTGCCCACTCAGCTACCTGGACAAGGCCCCAGAATGCACAGGGGAGTGAAGGCAATAGATACGACGCTGGTGCCTACCTGAGCCTCAGCTGACCAAACCATGGGAAGTTAGGAGTGTAAAAGTCAAGAGGAAGAAAAACCGTTGGCCAAACAGAACTCTAGGGACTCCATCAGTTCCTATATGGTTAACTGAAATTTGGGGTTTGAATACTAAATTGTTTTTTCTTAAAAAAAAAAATTGCTAGATAAAGAGATCTTCACAATATTGAGAAGGAAGCAGCTGCATATTTTGGCAACCATTTCTAAGGAAAAAAAAGTAAAAACATGAAATATTGCTACAAGAACATAAAAGGAGAAATCTAAACAGACAGCCAAGAAAAAAGTGAAGAGTGGAGAACAGTAAATTTAGGAGATCTCCATATGATGTGGTTTCTCAAAGAGGGTGTATAAAAAAAAATAATAACAGTCAGGGAGCAAGGAGAGAGGGAAGCAAAAGGCTTGGAACAGTGAGCACCAAATTGAGGGAAAACTTTCCTGAGAGACACTTAAAAAGTAATCAGAGAAAACGGACTAAAGACCCAGAAAGGGCAGTTTGTCTGGAGCTTGAAATGGAAAGAATCACAGGGAGATGCCACCTACTATATCAGGCTCTTAATGGACCGAGAAATCTGCTGTGCTAATAGCTCTGAACCAATTGCTTTGCATGAGATTCTGGGCTAGTCCAAATGACTTTGTCAAACTTCCCTTTCCCATTTTAAACACAGAACAAATAATTTCAAGGTGTTTATAGCATTAACACTGACAAGTTGACTCCCTGGATAGAAGCCAAGGAGTTTGTATACTCAGGAGTTTTCTCACGTGATTCTGAGAAAGGCTTGATTAGCCACGACTGTAACACACCTTTCCCCCTTTGCCCTTCTCACCTTCAGAGTATGGTCTCCTCTCATAGCTCATTCCTGAATGCAGTGTCACCACTTCCCTGTTCTCCCTTATCTGGCATAGCCACCAATAGATCCGACATGGCTACAGAGAATTAATTGTTGATATAAATTTAAAAGTTTCTGTGACTTTAGATGACTCTCTGTTCTTAAGTTGGTTACTTATCTTACTTGGATAAAAGGTGTGTTATTCGTAGATAATCAGGTGGTAGATTTTGCTGAAAGCAATCCTAAAAACTGTCATTGGGATCTAAAATTAAAATCAAATCAAATCCCAGCTGATAAAAGCAGCAGTCATTAAAGGGTATTATTAACTCTGCACTATCACTAAGGGATCATTTAGTCAAGATTTAAATGTATGAATATCTAAATGATACCATTTGGGATAGATCTTCCTCTGCTAGTCAGCCTGGTGGAGAGGGAAAGAAGGAGGATTAATCAAAATCCTCTGAACGATCTGTTGGGAGAAAAGTAAAATTTTTATTTTATTTATTTACTTATTTTTAAATTTTTTACATTCAATCACTGTGTATCATTACAGCATGCCAAATTAATTTTCCCATCATCAATATACTGTGTATATTGGTTCAGTCCAAGATACTACCGTGCACATTATCACCAAGAGATAACTTTCCATTGTTGTGGCTCTTAGATGTTTTGCTTCTTTTTCCCTTGATCCCCAACCCCGTAACCTCCTCCATTTCCCACCCTCCTCCTGCACTGTCTCTAGTACCACCATTGCTCTCCATGCTTTTATACCTTCCAATCTTTCATTTTCTGCTATAGAGTGCCAGCATTTGGCCTTTATTTAATTTTATTGCCAGAGAGCACATGTGCTCATCAGAGAGAGAGAGAGAGAGAGAGAGAGGGAAAGAAGGCACTCCCCAATAGAGCGTGGTCTGCCATAATCCTTTTTCTTCCACTTCTACATCAGAATTGTGGGGTATGTGCATACACACCCCCGCATGTTTTTCAAGTCAGTAGGATCAGAATTCAAACCATTGTTGACCATGTGGGATCTGGCTTCCTACGCACAGCACTTAACTGCTAAGATACACAGCCATCTCCGAAAACTAAAATTTAATGAGAATCTTCTAGATACTGTGAGTTTTGCCAACTTATGTTGTATATCTTCTCTCATTATGGCATGGGTGTCACTACCTTCATTTTAAAGGTCCATAAACTTATAATCACAGAGTTTAAGTCACTTTTTCCATTCACACAACTGTCAGACAAATTCTGAATCCATGCTGTTTAGCTCTAATTTCCCTTTATCCTGGTCATCTCAGTTGACATAGGAAAAGCATCTGACAAAGTCCAATATGCTTTTTTTTAAGTGTATTTAATTTTTTTTTCCGTGAATGAGAGAAGCAGAAAGACAGAGACAGAGGAGCAATACTCCCAACAGTCTTAATGCTATGGTCTGCCCCTATACCCATCCAGCTTCATATCATGGGCATATGCATTCTCAGTATACTCAGGGAAGTCTCTGAATGTGAACCTGAAACCTTTACATGTGAGTCAGCCTCAGACAGCATCATGTTTTACTGTGCTGTCACCATCTGGTCCCCTCCAATATACTCTCTCTCTCTGTCTCTCTGTCTGTCTCTTTCTCTGTTACTTTTCTTTCTTTCTTCCTTTTTTTTTCTTTAATCTTTACCATTGGGTGCGTGTTCTTGCTGGAGAGACAGAGGGAAAGTGAGAAAATCTGCCATACCCCTGGGGCAGGGGGAGATGGTCACACAGCAATTGCCTTTTGTCCACTTTCCTCCTGGGATTTGGGGCACACACATACATGCACCTAGCATGATTTCAAGCCACCAGGTTTGAGACTCAAACTTTAATGGGCTGTGTGGGAGTCCAGTGACTTAACCACTAAACCACCTGTTGGCCCTACAATATGCTTTCTTGAGAGGTTTGGTGGTTTTTTTTTTGCTTTGTTTTATTTGTTTGTTTGTCTGGTTTTTTGTTTGTTTGTTTTGTTTTGTTTGCTATAGGGCACATGCGCTCACCAGAAAGACAGAGATAGAGAGACAGAAAGCAAGAAATCACCCCCCACCCAGGAGGGGATGGCCACTCAGCAATCACTTCTCCATTCTCCTCTTGGGATCTTGGGTGCACATGCACACATGCCTGGCATGAGTTTAAGCCACCAGGTCCAACCGTGGTGGACTACATGGGAGTCCATAGCCACTACGCCAACTGCTGGTTCCCTCACAGAAAGCTTTCTTATAAAAACTCTCAACAGTTTATGTATAGAAGACAAATTCTTTGACATAATAAAGGTCATTAATAAGAAGTTCACAGCTAACATTATAATTAATGGGTAAAACTGAAAGTTTTTTCTGAAATCTGGTACCAGGCAAGGATGCCCATTCTTACCACTTCTATTCACCATGGTACAGGAAGTACTAGCAAGAGCAATCATGTGAGGAAAAATAATTTAAGGCATCCAAGTCAGAAAGTAAGAAATAAAATTATCTATTTTTGCAGACAATATCATATTATGAAAAGAAAGTTCCCTGGAAATTATGTTAAACTAATACATGAAAACAAAGTCACAGGATACAAAATCAACATATAAAGTCAGATAATTTTTATACACAAATAGTGGCCCGAATAAAAAAGAATAAAGTAAACATTCCTATTTGTGATAACATTTTAAAAAATACTTCAGAATAAATTTAACAAAGGAAGTAAAAAAGGTATACATTGAAAATTATAAAATATTTATGAAAGAAACCCAAATAAGTCAATATTCCATGCTCATAGATCAGAATAACTAATATTGTTAAAATAGACAAGTGGAATTACATCAAGCTTAAAATGTTCTTCACAGCAAAGGAAACAATTAGAGTGAAAATACAACCTGCATAATGGTAGAAAATATTTGCAAATTGATTCCTCAGATAAAGGATTGATAACCAGAATATATAGGAAACTTGAGAAGTTCACTTATTTAAAGAGAAATGAATAATCCAATTTTAAAAATGGGCAAATGAGCTAAACAGACAACTCTCCAAAGAAGATCTATGAATGATCAAAAGGCATACAAAGAAAAAAAGTTCAGTATCTCTTGTCATAAGAGACATACAAATTAAAACCACAGTGAGGTATCATTTAACCCCGATTAGAATAGGTAGGACCAAAAAATAGAGAACAAGAGCTGGCAGACTCTGGAAAAAAAGGAATCCTTTTACACTGTTAGTGGGGATGTAAATTAGTAGAACCTCTGTAGAAAACAATATGGAGGTTCCTCAAAAATCTACAGATAAAACTATCATATGATCCAGTAATCCCACTCCTTGTTATTTACCGAAAGGGTAGGAACACTCAATCAGAAAAACACTTGCTCAATCATGTTAATTGCAGTATTATTTGCAATTGTTAAGGCATGGAATCAACCCAAATGTCCAAACACCGATGACTGGATTGAAAATCTGTGCCACGTATGTACTATGGAATATTACTCAGTCATAGGAAACAATGAGATCCTATTATTTGATTCAAAGTAGATAAATAATGAAGACTGAATGTTAGGCAAAGCAAGCCAGG